ATTGGTGTGCTAAAGGGGACATTCAGATACCAGTATATTTAAATGTTACTGAGAAACCAATCACCAGTGAGTACAGCAAGCTATCATAAACTCCACATATATATCAATTCTATCCATTTTTAAATGTTAGTACTCTAAGAGATATTAGGATAATGATTGTCATAGTGCTCTAGTAATTATTTATGTATATTTAATTATAGCCACTGCCTCTACTGTTGCTCAAGTTACTGGAAATGGAACAATTCACACATTTGAAGACAAACAAGAAAGGTTTGTTTTTCAGTTTTATGTGCAGTATTTAATGAACTGTTCTTGTAAGGGGAACTGTCAAAAATTCCTTTATGCATGTCATTGATCCTTGTTAAGCTAAACTAAATTATACATTTTGCAGAGTTCCGTTTGACCTAAAGATCCTCATCATTCCTCTGAGCCTGCTGGTCGTGGTTGTAATTGTAGCTTTTCTTATCTGGTTTATAATAAGACAAAGTAAGTGTTATTGAAATCATTGAAACATTTAAAATGCAATTAAAGTTTTGAATATTGTGCATTGTTACATGGTCAGTAACAGCAGTTATCTTTTACTAGAGCTGAGAAAAGCAGAATCAACTCCCACAGCAAAGGTAAGAGATCCTGTGTGACAGGTCTATATGCAAAGAGTTCTGTGTGACACCAGTCTGACAGCGTTTAGTCTTTCTGTAAATTACATTTTGCTCATTCTACACAGATTGATGAGGAAGTGACATACGCCAGTGTAAGAAATGTGGGAAGAAAAACAGCTGAGGTAGCCCTAACATACCACAGCTAAACATTTATATTTAAGAATATAAGTAGACATTTTTTTTAAAGCATGTTGGAACTGTAAAGTGTTGGCTTTCTATTTTTGTTCATTCCCAGGGGTCATTTACAGAAGGTGATGGGGAAATCACATACAGTTCGGTTGTGACCATAAAGAATCAAAGTATCAAAATGGTAAATATTAAACATGATAGCAACCGCATCCTGTTTCCCACTTCCTGTGTTTCCTTCATTTAAAATGTTGTTGTCCTGGTATTTTGTTTGTCACTTGGAATGTGGTCACATTCTGCTTCCCCCCCCCCTCCCCCCCTTAACTGTCATTTTTGTTTCTGTTCTCCAACAGGGTGAAGAAAAAGGCACAGAAGTTACATACAGCACATTAGCTACTCTCCACTGAAATATTTAAATATTATAACTTGGCAACTTTTTTGTCACGTTTAACTGTTGTTTAACAAACTATATTCCTAAAGTATATTCCTGCATATTTGCAAAGGGAGTCAAAGAAGCGTTGATCTGTTTGCTCTTTTATAGAGATCAGTGACATTATTCTTGTTTTTTATTGTAATAAAGAAGCATTGCAAGCATCAACAATAATGGCTAATCCTGACTTCTATCATCTTTGTTGAATGAGAGTGGAATGATATACTATTTGGAACGATTAAGCATGCAGTCTGCCTTTACGTACATTTTTTAAACATAAATATGTGTGTAATGAGTCATTCTAAAGAGCTCACTAAATCGGTACTGCAGTGGTATTGTAATAGGATGCCACCACTGCAACAAGTCACTTTGTTAAATTTCCTAGACATTTCAGAATCAGCTGTAAGTTAGAACAGTTGTGCCATCTTCCTGATGCAATCATGGATATTTGTTGTTTCATCCTGGACACGGTTCTGACACACACATCCTCAGCCTCCTTCCTTCCACTTAGCCTACAGTCTCAGGGTGCTATATTTGGGACTAAAACCCTCCATGCATAGGACAGAGTCAGTGGCATCTAACTTCTCCTTTGCCCAGCTTATTAACCCAGCAGGGTATTTGATGACTTGCATGGTGTAGGTATTAATAACCCAGGATTTGTTGTTTCCATTCAGCTGAGTCCTCAGGACTTGACTTACACTCTGGAGGTATTTGGTGGTTGCGGCCTTCTTAGTAACATCTTCATGGTTCCCATTTGCCTGTGAGATTCCACCGTACTCAGGCTACGTTCACACTGCAGACCTTAATGCTCAAATTCAATTTTTTGTCTGCTTGTTCACACTACAAATAAAATTTGACAGCAAACACGCTCTAGTGTGAACCCTCAAAGCGGCCCGCATGCGCAAAAGAAGACGTCACACACAACGCGCTCTGTTTAGACCCAGACCAAACAGTATTGTTTGACTGATGGCCCTTAATATAAAGACTTTTTTCAGACTTTACATTTTCCAATTTTGCTTTAAGTTATAAAGTTATTTTGTTATTTACATATGGCCTAATAATTATCCTTATTGCTGTTTTAGAGAGGAGCGGTGCTTCAAAGGATAGTTGCAGATTTCTGTCAGAATCAGCAGATTATACAGTACAAATAAAATCTTCACGTTTCTCCAGCGTCTTCCCAACAGTTTCACTAACATCTACACGGGATGGCTAGGAAGCGTTCACGATGTCTTCTCGGACGCTTCTCCAGCGCTTCTTCGATGCTGATAATTGGCGTCTGTCTTGTGTCAGTGACGTAAAAGACGGATTTAATCCGACTTGACCATTCAAACAGCAGTCGCTGTCTAAAACATCAGATATGTATCGGATTCAGTACCACATACGAAAGTGGCCCAGGTCGGATTTGAAAATATTGGATTTGTGCTGTTCACACTGTCATACCATGATCGGATATGTGTCACAAAGGGTCAAAAAAGTCAGATATGATGCACTTTCATCTGCAGTGTGAACGTAGCCTTAGTTATTCTCAAGGTCTGCAGTGTTGCCTTCTGGTAGTGCAGTCCCCTCAGGGCTGGACGGGGACAAAAAGTCAATATGGCCGGTGTGCCATATATCTATATATTATACATATATCTATGCATTTCATTTTGTTTGACAGTTTTTAATCAGTTTGGTACAGTTGCTGTTATTTATTTCTTTGTTGCATTGCAGAACGTCAAAATTTAAAGCTACACTTTAGCTGTTAGCAGTGGCTCATGGTTAAAGTAGCCAATTATTTAACCCAAATCCTTGAATCTCTCATATCCTATTTATGTTCCTCCATCTATACTCTATAATTTTACTTTGTCTCTTCCTCACTTATCTACAGCTGGTGCTCCACCAGTAGCCTCCTGAGACTGTGAGGCCTGGTTAGGAGTTGTTACTGGTACTAAAGCCCCACAGCTAACAAGTGGGGCACACTATTATTAGCTTGCTTTTTGTTGTTTTCTCTCAGTTTTCAAGCTCCACCTTTTCGCCACTTCTTCCGAACTAAAGTTTTCCTACAACGTGCATAAGCACACAGTGAAGATAGGGGAGGGGCTGGTCCTTTGTCAGCTCACTTTTGTGTGTTTTACATAGGAGGAAGAGTGATTGCAACTGCAGTGGCAGTGGCATACTTAGAGTTGAAAAATAGGAAGTGTTGCACTTGGAGTTTTCAAGTGCAACAGTTCATACGATTTTGTCTGCTCACTTATCAATATGGCTCTCTGTCTCAGGATTATTTATATCATCACTGGACTAACAGGTATGTGGCAGGGGCTTTTAAAAATTGCTTAGCATCTCTGTTGATTTTCAATTTCCAATAGTATTAATTTGCAATTTGTAATATCTTACCAAAAGAGATTTTATTTTATTAGCAAAACATTTAATTCTGAAAACATGTAGATAATCAACAGAACTATTCTATTAAAATGTGCATTTGTTTCTTTGCAGGAGTTCACAGTATAACTACAGTCAGTAAAGTATCAGTGAAAACTGGGAAATCTATCTCCATCCCATGTCTCTATGAGTCCAAATACAAAAACCATGTGAAGTACTTGTGTGAAGGATCTAAATGGAGATCCTGCAGCGATGTATTAAAAACAAACACAGCAGACCCTTCAGGAAAATATTCAATCTCTGATGATAAAAACCAATTTTTTTTTACTGTAACTATAAACAATCTGACAAATGAAAACACTGATTACTGGTGTGTGGTGGAGATTAATAATGGACCGGATTATGGAGAGCATTTTCAACTGTCAGTTACCAGTGGTGAGGTTCCATCTTTGTTAACATTTTAAATTGGTTGTTATTAAAAGTTAATAGAAATAGACGTGAAGTCTAAATTGCCAATGGTTTTTCAAATCTGTATTTTTTTCCTTCTATCCACTCATTACTTTATTTATTTTAATGTTTGTCCTTGAAGGGACCCCCAGTCTCTATGTGGATCATCAGAGGATTACAGGATACATTGGAGAAAGCATAACCATCAGATGTCACCACAGTAACTCTGGAGAAATGAAGTGGTGCCGGCTGGGCAGGAACTGTGTGACAGGATCATCTGGATCCATAGATGGAACAACAGTGACCGCTTATATGAGCGAACCAAATGTTTTCACAGTGACAATGAGTGGACTACAGTCAGAGGACAGTGGCTGGTATTGGTGTGCTAAAGGGGACATTCAGATACCAGTATATTTAACTGTTACTGAGAAACCAATCACCAGTGAGTACTGCAAGTAATTATGAACTTGACATGTGCACAAGAGATATTAGGACAATCATTGTTACAGTACTCTAGTACTGACTGTTGTTTTGTTGAATTATAGCTACTGCCCATACTTTTACTGGAGATAGAACAATTACCACATTTAATAATGGACAACAAAGGTCAGATATCTTTTGTATTTGCAGTAGATTTAGCGACAAAACTGCTATTTTGACTAAAAACCTTTTATGCTAAACTTAATTATGTGTTCTCAAACTGCATATTGCAGAGCTTCATTTGACCTCAAGATCCTCATCATCCCTCTGAGTGTGTTGATCTTTATTGTAATTGTGGTGTTGTTCATCTGGTTGATACTGAGAAACAGTAAGTCTTGTTAAACTTTGATTTAAATCCAAATAGTATTTACTTGAATTTATGCATTATTGTTGGCTATTTTGCATTGTTAACACAGAGTCTGTAACAGGTGCTTTGTTTTTTCTCTAGAGCAGAGAAAAGCAGACTCATCAGCCACAGCAATGGTGAGTTATATTGATTTATTTCTCTGTGAGCTTGGTACATGATTCTACAAGAATAGCTAAATTAATTGATAGGGAAAACTTTTATAAGTACAGTTTTGCAGATGTTCTAATTATTTTCTGTTTTCCAATGCAGGCCGGAGTGGAGGTAGCATACGCTGAAGTTAGACCCAAGAAAAAACACTTAGGCAAGGTAAACAACTGCTGTCCTATCAAGAACTCAAGTCTAGGATTTTCAGTGAATATACTGACATTGGAAAGTAAAATGTCTAATTGATCAAATTAATCTTCCAGTATTGTCTTCATGCATGCTCAATCATCCATAGAACGAAATCCAAAAAGTTAATCTGTTCTACGTCCAGAAGAAAAAATTCAACTCTCCTTTAAAGCTCTGTATGGAAAGAGTTTGGAGTAACCAGGCTGACACCTTTCAGTCTTTCTCTAAATTACATTTTGTTTATCCTACACAGGTGGACCAGGAAGTAATATACACCAATGTGGGAAACATTAGAAGAAAATCACCCGAGGTAACCCTAACATACTACAACTATACATTTGTATTTGAGTATAAGCAGACTTTAACTTTTTTTTTCTTAAAGAATGACACGACTGTAAAGTGTTCTGTTTCCACTCCTTTTGTTTCCCCCCAGATGTCACTTCCTGAAAGTGATGGGGAAGTCATGTACAGTTCAGTTGTTACGCCCAGGGATCAATAAAGTATTCTGATTCTGATTCTGATTAGAAGAAAATCACCCGAGGTAACCCTAACATACTACAACTATACATTTGTATTTGAGTATAAGCAGACTTTAACTTTTTTTTTCTTAAAGAATGACACGACTGTAAAGTGTTCTGTTTCCACTCCTTTTGTTTGTTCAGTTGTTACCATAAAGAAACAAGAGGGTAAATATTAAAAGACCTGAAACCAAACACACACGATTTCTCACATACTGTTTCCCTCTTTTCAAATAATTTAGCTCATTATCCTCATAAGACATGATTCGCTTTAAATTTGGTCACCTTGGTCTTTGCTTTTTCTTTCTAATTGTCATATTTGTTTCTGTTCTCTGTTCTCAGGGTGAGGCAAAAGACACAGAAGTTACATGCAGCACATGAGCCAATCACTACTGAAATCTTTAAATATTAGAACTTTTGGCCTTTCTGTCTCTTTATATCTACCTTTTACTGGTGTTTTTGCAGGATACAGTGTTTTTTTTT